GTTTGTTCTGAACTGGGGGATGCGGGTCAGCAGCAAGGCATCCTCTTAAAGGTCAAGTAGCTAGGAGTTACAGCTCATCATCTAAGTAAAAAAGACAGGTAAATGGGAGAATGGAAAACTAAGTTTAGAGTTGCCTGTGTGAGAGAGAGCATTCTTCCCCCAAAGGATATTACGCTGCAGACCTGGCTGGCAGATGAAAGAAAAGTATTATTGCATTGATTTAAACAGGAGCTCTGTCAGACTCATATTGCAGAAATAATCTATTTCTTCAGCTGCTTCCTAAACAATGTTTCACTTTGCATTTATGTAACTTAGCTATAGCACATTTAACTATAACTGCAGATTGTTTAGGAGAGATAACTGTGCCTATTTTGAATCAAACCTACTGTGCTGCGAGGGGATATGTGCATCTTTTTACTTGGTAGTTACTTGTTTCTTAGATATTACACCAACAACATAAAATGCAGGATGGTGGTAGCTGTTTGAGATCTTGCTTTTATATTGCTTCTGCAAATCACGTGAAGGTCAGGTTACTGCTATCTCATTCATCAGCTGGCATCGGCTTACGAAACAATTCGAAGTTTTCGCTTTGACACTTCCTTTGAGACCCTTTCATCTTTTTCTTTCCTCCTATTGTGTCACCAAGTCAAGACGCAGCTTTCCAAAGACTTGAAATAAAAAGAACGAACGAGTAACCCCGTTATTAAAGGAGTGAGCAGTCTGATCCACCTAATACCAGCTGGAAACTAACATCTACCTTCGTAATCTTCGAAGCTTTGGTGGGATTAAAAAAAAAAAAAACGCCAGCAGAGAAACACTGTCTAGAAAACCTATCACCAAAAGCATCTTTCGCAGTCATCAGTCATTAGGAATACTAATCAGCACATCTGCCCTGGGTACAAGTAACACCGGATCCAGGGATTTTTGCTCTGGTTGCCGACAGCGATTGCCAGCACCTACCTGTATATCTCTATATACACAGATACATAACTCGTCAGGCTTACACGCACACCCTGACAGCTTTTCTGAGGGAGTATCACGCCCAGCTTTCAAATAATAGTAATTTCTGAAATATATCACTATTACAGCCCTGCCTACTAGAGGAACCAATACTGAGATCTACCTCATCTGTCTAAACTCGATGCATTTATAAAGCTTTTCGCTGTGACATGCTACACGAAATTAAAAAACAAGAGCCAGGCTGCTGAGGGGTACCTACTGATATATTCCTGTGCTTTCAGCTGTGAAGCGATGAGCTCTCCTGGGCAGAGGAAGGGGACCAGAGAAAAAATAGGCAATTTGCATAAAAATTACTGTCACAGGAAACCTTTTTGCATGTGTGGTTTTTTTCATCTCAACCAGTACCCAGCACATTTAGAAAATCCTCAGTTTTTTTGTCAGTGAAATTTAACCCTTAAGCGAAAACAAAGAATGAGGGTTTTGATCCTTTCTGTGGTTTTTTTTTCCAGCATGTGGTATATGACCCCATGAAAAAACAACCCTGTACTGTGATCCCAATAGCAACTTAAGCTGTGAAGAAATGAAGACTTTTCTTAATATCGGAGTACTTTTCTGCAGCCTTAGTAGACACCCTATTCCTGTCCTTCTGTACAACTTAGAAAGTTCACAGAAAAGGAAGTTACAAGATGAGTTAAATGTAAAAGCCCTTACAATACAAGCAACAACTGAAACAAAGAAACCTATTAAGATCATCACTGCAGAAGCTATCTGGCAGCTGAACCAGCTGTGCTCTCCTACAGCACACATCGGAGTAGCCCTGTGATCACTTTCCTTTCCAGGGGGAAATCCCTACAGATATTCTTTTACAAAATTTTGATTTGTTTTCACTAAGTACCCCAGACCATTCCAGGGACCAGAAATGAAAATATTTTAATGTCACTGTGAATTTTTTGGTTGGCTTGTTCAGGGAATGAGGAGGGAGGGCTCTTTTGGTTTTATTCTGCACCTGTCCTAGTAACAGCACAGTCTCTCGCATTTAAAAAAAGAAAATCCATTATGGATGCTTTCTTCTCCTATTCTTGCAAAAACTTCTTTAGAGTCCAATATCACAGTCAGCCACTGAGTCAAATGTTGTGGCATGGTATGACATCAGAGAAAGGAAATCAATGTTAGATTTTTTGTGTAATTAGTAACAAAAAGAAAATAATTATTTCATCTTCTATTATTTCATATGTAAAAAGTATGCCTTGAATTTGTACTAAGTAAATGCTAAAGAGGTTGAAGGATGAATCACCATCAGTCTCCACTACAGAAGGGAATCACTTCATGATAATATACAACAAAACTGG